GACAGACAGAGAGACAGACAGACAGACAGACAGACAGACAGACAGACAGACAGACAGACAGACAGACAGACAGAGAGACAGACAGACAGGCAGACAGACAGACAGGCAGACAGCCTGATCAGGTGACACACAGAATAAAACCTCTCCCCTCAGCTCTTATTCTGCCTGTAAACACACTGCACCACACAGCATCAACAAGTCCCATCCCCCCAACTCCACTGTGGGTGGGGAGTTCACTGGTAACACTGGTTGGTGACTCAGTGTTGGTCAGTGAAACCACACCTATTCTCCACGGCCGTTCTGTCCCTGAGCATCGAGGAACAAACATGTTGCATGTGTGCTTCTACTTCTCAAGTTCCTTGTTTTTTAAGTTTTAAAAAGTGTTCATGTAAAGGATGTACCAACACAAAAGCAGCAGCCCGTCTGTCAGTCTATATAATCACATTACAGGACAAGGAATTGAACTGTTTGGGTGTTTTTCTTGGCTGCAAATAATATTTTTATTACCTAGTTCACAGTTAAGTTGTCCGCTGGTGACGCCACAGGCTTGTAGTGCATCCACACAAGCACTGGAAGACAAGTGCACACTATAGGGGTAACAAAGGTTTCCAATAATAAAACGTAATGCTGCTTTCAGGTTCAATGAAATCATTCAGTCCACCTCAGGACTGCTGTGATCAGACGTATCTTATGTAATAGGACATACAGTGTGCTTTATTCCACCGTTTTCTATCGCCTGCACCTTTTCAAACACCCCGATAGAGAGCATTGATTCCTGAGTGAGGAAATGTCAAGAAAGTCAAAAGTCCAAATGTTCCCTCTGACAGGAAATACACGATCTGTCTCCCACACAGCACCAACACAAGTCTGAATTCTGCCCTTTGTAAATGTGCAACAAAGCGCTACACGGAACAGGGACATTTTTACATTTGGAAAACACATCAACACACCAAGTAAACACATAATGTGACATGAGGCTGCCCTCTCCCTGGCCTAAGAGCAGGAAGTGAAGGCAGCAGAATCAGGACACTTCTTACTCTTTGTCCATCGGCCTAAATGTGTTTGATGCATAGAAATGCAAACAAAGCCAGCCGCCGATAGCATGAGGTTAACAGTGGACAAGTATAATAGCCAGCCTGTATGCGGCACGCTCCTTAAAAGAAGGCCACTCTGCACAAAAGAAATGCCCTGAGGTGTTATTTCTGTAAACTGATAAACACATAATATCTCCTGACATAGACTGGCTGCATTACAAAAAACATCGACTCCAACTTCTCATCTTTAAATGTCTCTGAACACGTCTGATCCTGCAGCTTCTCACATTCCCACACGTCCTGTCAACTTATCCAAGGATCACTTGAACTTGTCCCGCTAAACAAAAGCTGAGCTGACGGTGCCACTTGTGCCCGGCTGAGATTAAACCTTCACATACCGAACACACTTGGCGACCAGAGGAAAACTCCCCGAGGTGCTCAGCACTTTAACTACTTACATCTCCACTGAGGACATCAGAAAACAAGAGAGAGGAGAAAAAGACTTCAACGTCCCAACTAACGGACAATAAACAACCGTCCAACGGTCCAACGGTCCGGGGAAACGGTAGCGGTTGGCGGTTTGAACTGTAAACAAAAACAAAGAGGCAACTTACCGTTCACCGCAAACACCAGACAAGCTGTGAAAAGTTGCAGCAAGAGGAACAAACTCTTCAGCTCCTTCATGGCTGCTGTTGCTGTCGGTTCGTGGGTCGGTTAAAGGGACGGACGGCGGACTGCGGCGGACTGCGGCTCTTCGGACGTTGCTGCTACAACTGTGTCTCGAGCTGGTTGTGCGGCTCCGAACTCACAGGCAGCAGGCGTAGAGCACGAGCACGTGCGCCTCAGCTCTCAGCCAATCGCAGCCCGAGTTTTAATTGTAGCCCCGCCCCCTCCCTCGGTTGTAATCACCCTGGAAACAAAAGAAGCGTTAGTGTTGTGCGTTACATCCAAGGTCCTGATTAAGATCTTTAATATAAAACCCCTCAGAGGAAAATGATTGCAGCATTTAACCTGTGACCTGATGGTGTTTCCATGGCGATACTTAGGCCTTTCTTGAATTAGTTACTCAACTACTGTAGGCTACTTACATTTGAGGGACTTGATGTTACTTTGGTATTTTATTTTCATGCTGCTCTCTATATCTATACTCCACTGCACAGGGAAAATGGCACTTTTTTTTAAATTCAATTATAAAATATGATGGTTTGTCATAAATTAAATCCACTGGTATAGATCTACAGCTAAAACAATTAGCTCATTAATTAATATCATTGATTTGCATTTTTCATGCAAAAGCATTTCATGGTTACGACTTCTCAAATGTGAGGATTTTCTGCTTTTTATTTTAAATAAATGTTGGCTACTTAAATTGTTAGATTATAGCTCATAGTAGCACATATAGTGCACACACTGAAATGGGAAAATTCCCATGGTGCTGGGCCACGCATGAATTCCCCTTCTGAAATGCAGATTAAGGCCAATGTTTGATTGTGGAAAGCCAGAAAGGTTCATCTGTGGGCGTTTCTTGAGCCGAGATCCAGCAGTGGGTCAGAGTTGATTTTTGTGCTCTCATAGGGAGTGGGCGTGAGATGAAGACTTGTTTTTAATGGGTGTGAGTTTGAGAGGGATGTCCAAGAGTGTCAGACTCTTGTATGGATGAAACGGTTTAGCAGTAATTTTTCTTCCTGCTCCAAGTTCAGGAGACAAAAAGCAGACAAAATACAGCAACAGATTGCCGACTTCAGGAAACGATACCTGCTTAATCGCCTTGGAAGTGTCTTTCTGAGTCTGTTCTTTACAATTCTTTCCATGTAATTTGAAAATGTGGCACATTCAACAACAGCAGCAACAATTTTCTCAAATGAACTCTACACACTTTGACTGGCAGGGTAAAATGTACCCTTCTGTAGCCTAGTAACAAGCCAAAGTGATTTAAATGCAGCTTAAAGTGATCTCATGCTTGGCGACTAGCTCAAATACAGAAGAGAAAGGCTGCTGTGCTTTGATGGTCTGTTCTCGTCACGTCTCCATGCTTGGTTTGTCACTCTGCTCTCATGCATGTTTAGACCAAATGCAGTTGAAAATGATGATATGGTCTTGAAACTGTGCTGTGTGAAACCTAAATCCTTCCTCTCACATGCTGGACCCACAAAAAAAAAAATCCTTCCCCCAGAAGACTTTTTTACATCAAAGCTATACCAGAGGAGTGATACATCCCAACTCATTAGTCAAACAGAGGGTGGATATAATATGGGAAGTGAAGGACTCTGTGACCTTAATGGGATGAGGAACATGTAAATGAAAAAGAAGTGAAAGTATATATTTCAAATATCTGGGAAAGGTTTGTTCCTCCTTCTATCCTTTATGCAGCCTAATGCAGAATGTTATTTGAGGTATTTTTCGTCAAGACAAGCCAAGGATCTGCTGGGAAACGGAAAGCAGCAGTATCATAACAGTACAAGCTTCTTCTGATTACACACATATGTTATGGAAAATGAGAGATGAAGAGAAATTTGTTGTATCAATTCACTGTATGTAACTAAACAATATGCATAAATAAAATCAGTTTTTTCATCCATAAAATCAGAAACAAATGAATCAGGAATAAACTGCTGTTCAAGGGGATTATTGATAACTCTGTATTCACCACATCAGCACAATATGCACTGAATGCTGGCGTCTCTAAAGTAACACCTGCTTTATGACCTAATCTTGAGGTCTCTGTTGGGGGCCTGAGTGAAAATCTAGTCTCAAGAATTTTAATATTTAAGTTTTTAATGTGATTAAATTTATACAAATAAATACTACTATACAAAATCCATGGCGCGTGATAGACACAGGAGGGTCAATAGGGGACACAGCTCAGTTTTACCCTGGGTGCCCACAGCGAATTAGTCTGGGCCTGTCTCTCTTCCATCTACTGTCTACTGTCTTACATCTACTGTCAGCTATCCAATAAAAACATTAAAACATTTATTTTGAAATAACTAAATGAAACATAGAATATAATTAAAAGGAAGTATTTCCTTTAAGGTTTGTGCAGTCTTATTTGAATTAAAACCATATCTCTGTGCATGTCAGTATATGTCTGTCTTTTAACTCACAGCATGCAGACAGACACTCATCCTGTCCTTAAGACATTTAATAATACCAAAGTCAGGCTTGAGAGCGTCATAGAAATTGTACCGTAGCCCAACTTTAGGTAACAGCCACCAAAAGCCTAGAAAAAGTGCAAAAGACAGCAAAATGCAGGGATAAGAGAGATTTGTATCCTGTAGCTAAAGAGTCACTGCTGTGATCCCTAAAATGACAATGCTTCCATCATGTTGAAGTGTGCTTCAGCAAAGACAGTTAAACCCCTCTTGGTTTCGTTTTCCAAGAAAAAGAGTGTCAGCAAAATCCCTAAACTGTGAAACTCAACAGGCAGAAAGAAAAATCTGCTTTATCCGTACTGTCACAAAACCATAAGAACAGATCATGTGGTTGACGTGAAGCAGCCGTCAAATGTGGTGAGACTCCACACTGGCAGCTTCCTCTGATGTTCCTCTCTTATCAGACAAAGCTTCTTCTCATGACTGACCCTTACTAAGTCTGAGCCAGAGAATGAGCGTCAACGTGACAGAGGCCTGTTTGATCTTAATCCTCAACGCAGAGTGCAGCAGAATCTTTAAACCTTGGGAAAATGTGGTATACTGTACCTGCAGGGGAATTGCTCAAAGGGAAATTTGTCGTAGAATTTATACAGTACATCCGTAACTGGTGAGTAACTGTGAATTTTCACTTCTGTCTCCCACACAAAAAACAAGATCAAACCCCTTTCACTTCTGTCTTCCATCTGGAAACGCAAGAGAGGATTCACACTTACAAACAACGTCATGGATAAGGAAATAAAAATGATTTAGGAGGGGAGTACATTCCTGAGGCTTTATTTCTTTGGAAGAAAAAGAAAGCTACAGTTCAACTGAAACCTAATTTGGTGTTCACAGTCATAACAACATAAACTGACGTGTAGGCTCACTAGTTTATGTGGGACTAAAGATATGCAGTGTATCTTCAGAGGTAATACTGGATTGATTGGACGCCCAAAAAATCAAGCAACCTCAAATGTTCCTTTTCTGAAAGGTTTTCTTTTTAATTTGTGGAGTCGCTTTACATGAAATGAGTGTTGAGTTTCTAAATTAAAAATAAAAATAAAATTAAAAAAAAACACAAAAAACACAAAAAACACCACAGCAACTCAAACCACTCACACTCCCCCATGTCTATCATGTTCACTTTATTATCTACACTGTTGTTTCATTGTATATTCTCACCAGTTCTTATGGTAAATTGCTATCAAACAATATGATGGGCCTGTATGTTCCTGGTCAGCAAAAAATATTTACTTATAATGTCAAATTTTCCTCATAAATACAAAGTAATTGTCATAAACACATATTAATTAAAATAAATATATTTATTTTATAATAAACATAGAATACATTTTACAATGATTCGACACAAATATCAATAAAACAATATATTAAAATCATTAGGTCACTATGAATGAATATTAAGTTACATACATAACATACTGTAAGTCCTATTGGTGGATGGCGCCCTCCCGTGGTTAAAATACTCAATAAAAGAGGACTGATGACTGAAAACTGAAGTGACATCAGTTACTACCGTGATTAATACGTTTTGACAATAAGAACGAACCCAGTTTTAAACATGCGACAATCAATAAAAAATGTTCCCATTGAAAAAGTCATCCTACTGCTGCACCTTATAGTAAAAACATCATATTGCGATTATTTTGACAGATCTTGCGCTTGCGATATAACTCACAGTGAGTGTGGGAATTATTGTTTTCGCCAAATTTTACTTTTGTAAAAAAAAATATTTCGATTAATTGTGCAGCCCTACATCCTATCTGTATTTCTAACCTCTAACTTCTAACTATTTCTTTATATACACCATTAGATCTTTGAGTTAGAACTTGTAGTAAGTTTGAGTGAACTTGATCAGCTATATAATAGACCCATATTTGCTATTTGTGGTACATTATACTATATTTAAATAATGATTTGTGTGACATCTGTGTGTCGATATAAAATGTAGGACTACAGGGTCTAGAGGCGGACGTGGATGTGTCCAATGAAAACACCACGTGTTGTTACTGTAAACTGTTAGTTTTTCTAAAGAAAGAAAAATAGGAAGTAAACTACACCGCTGATTTCTATGATGCCTTTCCGTGCTGTTGGATATCCTGTTTATACTAGTTCGACATAGACGGAAGATAAGGGGATTTGACTCAAAACAAGGGGGTTGGATTCACGTATAAACTGTGATCATTTATTCGTGTAAGTGGCGAAACTTTAAGATCTGAATTCATGTAAAGGAAACGCTACAATGTGTTATTTTTTACTGCTAGCTGTATTTATTTCTGGCTCGTCCAAACGTCGCAGCTTTGTAAGAGCACCTGAATGCACCGTGAGCTCCCTACTGGTCAGTCCGCTCCTGTGTTGTAAACAGACGGTGTCCGGAGACTGAGCTCAACTCCGGGTGGATCCGACCAGAACCTGCACTGACTCAACAGGGCGCGATGGTAAGACCGGAAATATCCTCCGTGTACTCTTTAAACTAATATTATGTACTTTTTTTTAAGTAATGTCCGCGTTGTGTCTGTGTTTTGTGAGGCCTTCAGGTTCACTCGACCACCTTTACAAACTGTTTTACCTGAGTGACTAAACAAAAGAGTACAAGAAAGTGAGGCCAGGAACACTTCTTGTGACTCACATTTACGCAGATAGGGAGGTAGCTGGCGGTTTGTCCTGTTGTAGTGTTTTGTTGTAGTTTCTGTCGTTCCGGTTTTGTCGTCCATTTATTATAAATGCCTGTCAACTGGACTCAAAGTAGATGTTTTTCCTGTAACAACTGCCACAGTGCATCTGTTTAACTTTTCAACTTATAATTACATGTGAAATGCTAATTCCCCGCGGGGATCTATCTATCTATCTATCAATCTATCTGAACATGATAACATGATGTTTCCTGCTGTAGTCTTTGGTTTGTATATGTTTTCCCTGAGGCACTGGATCCTGTAAGTTATTATGAGTTGGTTTAACTGTATTTTTCAGCACTGAGTGAACAACATCAGACTTTGGGTTCAAAAAGGAGGGCCCACAACCACTGTATTTTCTCAAGAGGCAGACAACAAGGTGGGTAAAAAAAAACAACTGTGAAATCAGTAGAGCTTTAGAGAGAATGGTCAATATCTATATTAGTCCTTTTGAAGCATCAAATACTGGATATTTTTGAGATTCTGAAAATAATTGAGAAAATAAAACCTACCACCAACATCAGATTGCAGAAACATTACTAGGGCTAATAGCCCTCTTAAAGAGAGTAACTACAGCATGTTGAGGAAGATCCCAAAACTAATCTGTGTGTATATGATAAATTGTCAATGTTTGCCCTATAGAATTGTAACTTTTGCTCCTAGCTGTTAAAGCCCTAAAGAGATTTAACTCAAAGACAACGAGTAGAGCGTGTTTTTTTCCTTTGTTTGCCCATTTAACTTAACTTCAGATAAGATCATTTATCCTGAGGGAGATTGTTGCGCAGCAGTTTCAGTACAAAGTAGGGAAGAGTGCAAAGAAACAAAATGTTTAACAGATTAACAGTCAGAAGTAAATAAAAAAAATAATGGGAGTTTTTTGACTGTTTTTGTGTAGATTTCGTCAGGTAGAAATCTGCAAAATAGCAACAGAAGGTAACTAGTCTGACTGGTTGATATATGATGGTCACTGTATACTGTGCTGTATATATTTGTTTATTTTTGTTTATTAGGCATTTGTCAATCTTAACAAATTAGATCATTTTCATATATACAGTCATTTTACTGTATAATTGATCCTTTCTAAGCCCCGCCCGTTTGGAAACTGTCAACTTTCTGCATTCCTATATGCTGTGTGCTAGACTCATGTATGTTCAACACCGTTGAGAAGTTAGTTTTAAGTTGGATATTCACTCTGGATCCAGTAAAGTCTTCAGTGTCACTCAGTGTTGGCAGCATTAGTTCACCTTGAGCGGTTGCTCTTTAGGGACCATCAATAAATTACTGAAAAATCTGCACATTTCTTTTTTTTAATAGCTTCCATGTGACCCAGTGACTCCAAATCAATCAGTGACTACGATGATTTTGATTTGATTTTACTGCATCTTCTATTTTATATTAATAATCATATGACATATGTCTAGTGTAGTAATATAACTTGTAAGATAAGACGTCACTGGCTCCGGAGTGAATGTCGGACCAGTGTTCATCTTAAAGTTAACTTCTCCAACCAAATGTTGAAGATGGTTAAAAGATAAAAGTGACATATACAGTATATAGTCACATCTTAAATTAGCAATGTTAGAAAAACATCTAAAAAAGGAGAAAGTTGACAGAGGTTGTGACGAGGCTTGTTCAATAGTTATTGGAGCACAAAGCAAAAAGGGGCGGGAGTTAGGAAGGCTCACCCCCTGTAGACTCTTAATAAGTCATGTTGAGTTGAGTGCTTTCCTAACCTGCTGTGCATAGGTCCTCTCCTGTCTCCACAATGGCCGCCCTTGAGGATGGTGACATGAACACCTTCGGCCCGGAGCTGCCTGCCATGTTTGACGGCATGAAGTTGGCAGCGGTGGCGACTGTCCTCTACGTCATTGTACGCTGTCTGAACCTGAAGAGTACCACAGCATCACCAGAGACCATCTACCAGGATACACCGCTCAGCCGGTACCTGTTCAAAACCTGCCCGATGCTGACCAAAGAGTGAGTGTGTATTATTATCTAATCTTAGTTGTAAAGACTAAGAACATTGGATGACTTCTGCATTGACAAAACCATTCTCCATATAAAACGGCTAATCAACCTACTTATTAATATTAATACAGGTACTTGTATACAGAATTTGACAAAGAATCAGCAGAAAAAAAATATGTATAATATGTAGTAGAGTGAGATTGTCACTGAGCACAGAGAAACTTTCCACTTTCAGCAGATGAA